TGATTTATAGTTTTAGATAAAGTGATTCATGACAATTATGCTTTCACAAAGGAGATGATGAGTTGAGTAGGCCACACTAATGAACCTGAAGGACGCGGATGCTGTACTTGGACCCAGTTCACTGTCTTACGTGGTAATCCAAGAAGAGAATGACCCTTAGATCGGTATATTTATCCTAAATCCTCCATATTTTGCACTGATCCTATAGTTCTCATCTCTTGGAATAACCATGTGTCAAGCGGACCCAACCCACTGGATACTTTCTCTTGTACGGGAGGGGTTGGTCAAGCAGTGATGAATTCACAGCAAAGTTGCCATTTTTGTTAGACTACAGTATTGTCGCTCGTCCTATTTATAAACATTAAGCAAAGTATGAAAGGGGAAATGGAGGGGGAAATGGACAAATTTGGATTGTTAGAGTAGAATTTCTAACCCAATATTAACTATAAAGTAAATTCGAAGAAACATAAACTTTTTGTATTTCAAATAACTATAATGTCCTCTGTCTGGAAATAGCAATAAATAAATAAATATATAACATGAATAAATGTCCTCTCCCAGGAATGTCGAAGTTTATTCGCCCTTATTGGTTTAACGACGACTATCTAAACAGATATACTAGTTTTGGACACTAAATACACGATATAGACCCTCTGTCAAAAGAAATTTTGAGCACAACACTATATGAAATTATCTTGTTTCCTTGTACTTCATTCTACTTGGACTTGACGACTGGATCAGCTCCTCTATTTGAAACTGTTATGAAAAAAGGGTATAATTGGAATTTAACATTAAATCACAGGTATTTGCAAAAACTGCTATCCCAAATCTTTCTATCCTGCAATACCCCTCAATCTAACTTTGAAATATAATTCCTAAATCAAGTAAATTATCACTTGTTTTGTGAATTAAGATTTTTGAATTTTTATTATATTTTTTACATTGCCATATTATGCATATTAGTTTATCAAGTTTAGTTAAGTAATGTTGTTTTGTGAGCTGGTATTTTTTTTCCGCTTAAATGATGATTTGGTAGTGGGTTGTGTATGTTCTGGATATACCTGAGATTTGGGTGAGCGATATTTTTGCAGATATCAATTCTTTAAGGGTATTATTATGCGCAAAAGCGAAAAAAATAAAATGTTTGCGCTCACTTTTCATTTACTTATAGATCTTTTTTGTATTCATGCTTCTTGGCCCCGCCCCATTTTAGATTTCTCATCATAGTTATGATTAGAAGGGTCAGCTTCTGATGATTGTGTGGCTGCGCTGATAGATGTGCAAAGTTGTTTGACACACTAGAAGTGCAGGATCGCGTTCAGCTGGTGATAGTTTATAGCTTTCGAAGCAGTATGTTCAGACAAGTAGAGAATGGAATGGCCGAAAATTAAAATTCTAATGGTGACTTCTGCTCGTATGTCGCGCAAACAAGTCAATTTGAAAATGTTGCCCTCGGCAGGGACTTTGTCTGCTTTTCTTCTACATAAGGTTGTCTTGAATTAGATTTGAACTCAAAAGTGACCTAACATAAAAAATATGTAAAATTTTTGGTTTACGCAATTTTATTTGAGACGAAAAATAGTATTGGGCAGGTATTACGGAGTTGCACATAATATTTACTGATTTTAATTTTCTTTGAATTCTATTATGTATTTGTTAGTTGATCTCATTGATCAATATTGATATATTTGGATCCGTGTGTGGGGCGTTGTGGGGGATGGAGTAAAGGATGCGGCCCGCATGGGCGGCCCCCGACTCGGCCCGGGGCACACACATTATGGAGAGTGCATTGCGACCCAACCCGCAAAAAGCTAATATCGCTTGACAGACGGGTCGCGTACACATACGAAAGTAAAGAAGTTGCTAGATTGATGGCAGTGTTACATCTGCAAACTAAAGTCATATATACACACTTAAATTCGTTGTGAGCTCATAATATGCTGTATGTGCGTATTATATGCTCAGAAAAATCGAATAAATGTGAATTTCCTTTGCATTTTTTTTCCTGTAACTACTGTTTGCATATAGATTTCAAGTATGACAGTCACACCCAACAGCAAATATAGAACCTAAAGTTACGAGCCTAAAATTGAGCGTACATCCATTGATTCTGATCTCAGCATATGTTGCACATTTGCATATATTTAATCAACGATGGGTTCACTGTCTCAGTGGCTAACCAAGCGAGACAATATAGGCAGCTAAAATGTCAATGACATGTTGGTGAGAAAACCCCCAAGTAGGAGTCAAGGACTTAAATTGAAAACACATAAATTCAAAGCTATGCCAAGCTTGTAGGTGCCCAAAGTCCTCAAGAGCAGCCCAAATTTTGACTAGATTATGTAAACTACATGTCAAAGGTTAGGTAATTGTAAGGTAAATTGCCATTAAGAGGGTTTGTTACCCTAACTCAAAGACCAGGATGGAAATATTTTATTTATTAGTAGGGTAATGTGGGTTGTTGAAGGGTCCCCTTAGTCTTTAGGTTTGGCAAAAAGCTCGGAATTCTCCTTGTCTTGACATGATATTGTGGGGTTCAAGCTGGTGACCTAAACATAGGACGCAAGGGTGAAACTCCGATGTCAAATTCTTCCACAAGAGAAACTTGACCTATTTTAAAGATTAACTACATAATCTTAAATACAAGGTTTTGTGACTGCTTACTTTAATTGCTATCTTAAGTATGTAATTTAGGCAGGCCATGCATGCAAAGCTTGATAAAGGAAGTCGGCAAGTGTGGTAATATTTATAGGTTTTCAGATATTTGGTCACAGCTCATTGATTTCCTTTGTTGTGAAGGCATCCATATATTAGCTAATCCTTTGTGAAAACATCAACTCGCTTTTACACAAACTTAACAGATGATTATAGGAAAAGCGAACTCACCTGAAAGTGACTTGTTCTCCACACAACAACACCCAGATTCTGATTCATCTAATGCCTCACGCTAGAAGATATTGCCGACCTGAACCTGTAAAGATAAATTTTAAATAATTAGTTTTGAACTTCTAAAATGTTATTCCTTTGGATTTAGATACTATTATGTTTCTAAAAGGTAATGTTAGTATGTTAGGCCTCAAATTCTACAGAAAAAAAATTGATGAGTTAAATGGATTATTCACTTGGACAAAATTTGAATTACAGAACACAGCTAATCAAACAGCTAATTTTCTTGTGTCCACTTCCTTCAGTTTTGCGGAAATAGAAGCAAAATCTGCAGCAATAGAGATCTTAATGAAATGCCTGCCAGATTTATGTCCTTTGAGTCAATGTCAAATGAACAAATTAATCCAGTTTTGATAGGTACGATATTCAACAGTACACAGTCATGAGCACGCCATGGGTTTTGCTGAAATTTCTCCATCCAATTTGTCATGATCATAAAATGAAATGAACAACTCTCTGAAATACAGAGATCTTTCCATCCTGAGAAAAACTCCAATAAAAGAATTCGCATTACGATAATAATCAAAATAAGACACATTTTGTGCTAATTAACCCATTAATACAGGCATAAATCAGATACTTTAGAACTAATTAGATTAAATTAGACTGTGATTAGAGCACAGTAGAACTAGCAGGCCAACATTCAGGCACAATCTGATCCTAGGAACACAATTAGATCCCTTTTAGTGGAGGTACATAATATCACCAATAAATGAGATTGTTCAACCTCTTCCAATGATTATGATTCACTTCTCTTTGTCTATCACCAAAAAGAAAACTGAAGCATTGCTTTTCTTTTTTTGAAAAATTTGGTTAATGACAAGTCGGTGATCAATTAATTAAAGAGTAATGATGTTACTGTTCAAGCATCAAAGGAAAATTAGTGATAAGTCAAAATCAGCCATTCAATCCTAAAAGTGAAGGGCCCCTTCATCTAACAGCGTCAATCTACAGGATAAGACCACTCAAGAATCTGCACCGTTTTCAAATTTTGGTGCCATGTAGTATGTACTATTATCTTTCACCAATTAGGACAATTACTCCATATTATCTTTGTAAAAATTTATGGTATCTTCCCTCCCTTTAGTCCTATAAATAGAGTTCTTTGTGTATAAGTGTTTGGTGAGGGCAAGTGAATAGGCCATTATCATCAATCAAACTCTGTCTCCCTCTATATAAGCTCTCAGGTCTTTTGAGTTTTGCAACCGGAAGCGATAACAAGTCCCTTTACTGCAGTCTGTAAAAATGGGCCGAGGCAGAGCTCCCTGCTGCGCGAAAGTGGGACTCAACAAGGGCTCATGGACTCCAGAGGAGGACATGCGGCTCATTGCCTATATTCACAAGTACGGCCATGGCAACTGGCGAGCTCTCCCGAAATTTGCAGGTAGCTTCATGTCTCAATGGAACGGTTATGTTATATGTATAATTAAGTTAATCAAACTCCTCATTTTAAACAGGGCTTCTGAGATGTGGAAAGAGCTGCAGACTAAGGTGGATCAATTACCTTAGACCTGATATAAAGCGTGGTAACTTTACCAAAGAGGAGGAGGATACCATTATCAAGCTCCACGGATTACTAGGAAACAAGTAAATGAACTAAAATTCTGATTGACTTGTTAGTGCATTGTTAATTATAATATTTTCCTTAATCAAAGGTTCGAACTGGTTTTACAGATGGTCTAAGATTGCATCTTGCCTACCGGGTAGAACTGATAATGAGATCAAAAACGTGTGGAACACCCACTTGAAGAAAAGATTGGCGCCTAAGGAGGAAAAATCAGGAGAAAACCCTGAAGAAATTCCAAGCTCACCGTCGTCAATAACTACTGCCTCTGTTTCTGTGTCATGCTCTGATGAAGGTGAGAGCAAAAAAGAGAAAGAGCAAAATGACAAGGAACAGCATGAAGCTATGGATGACAAAATTGACAAGATTGAGTTATCCGTTGAGCCCAATCTGGACATGTGGGATATGTTGGAGGATTCTTCTTATTCAGAAATAACACACGAAAATGTTGAACCTCCCTCCTCCGACGTGCGAGTAAAAGGTGATGACGGTAATACTCTGGTCGACTTGCCCGAGATTCTGATCGAGCCAGAGATTTGGAATATGATCAATGATGACTTAAATATTGCACTGACAAGGGACACTACTGCTGCTGCTACACCACGAACTCATCATCAAAACATCAAAGCTAAGGGTGAAGATGAGAAAGAGAGATGGCTGCAATACTTAGAGAAGGAGCTAGACTCGTGGGAAGAGTGTGCCGCTGCTACTGCACAGGTGGAGGGGGCAGACCCAGTGGCAAGTTATTTTCAAGCACTGCAAGCTTCACCCTCACCTTTAGATATCTTATATTGATTACAAGTGCCCTCGTGCAATGGTTACAAGGAATATGACTGCAAGAAAATGCGCTTGCTAAAAAATTATACAAAGATTGTAATATAACAAGAATCTTTGGAAGTGGAGGGTGAACATTTTCCTAGCTTCACTCACCAAATATTTCTCATTTCCTATTTCTTGTTCTCAAACAAACAAAAGAAATAGAAAACTGGGCACTGTTACTATGGAGGCTTTTTTTGTCTGTTTGTGTGACTTGGCATTGAAATGTGGAGTTTTCTTTGCGAAACAAACCAAAAAAAAGAAATCTGGGAAATGTGTTTGAAATGTATTAAAATCATTTCAAGGATGAGTTTTCCATTTCCAATTTTTTTGTGGAAATAACCAAACAGGCCCTTATAGAAGTGGAGAAAGAGGGGATTTTATGTCTGTCAAGAGTTGGACTAATTCCATTCAAATAGAGGAAATTGCATTAGCATTTTCTAAATATATATTTATAATGCTTACATAAATATTTCACAAATATCAACACAATCATTCAGCTCCACAACTTAACACTTGCACTTGTGTGTATTTAGCAATAGCCAATAAGCTTTTAACTCTACTTGTATTCCTTTAAAGAGTAAGAGTATTGGTTGTTTCGTGAATGAACGAATAATATTTCTTTTGTCACCTTAACTACAGACACCTTGTCAATAATAATCAGACGGAATAGTGATTACTGAACATGAAGGTGCCTGGATTTAATCAGTGATATTTAAGGCTAAATTTGCGCTAGCGTACAAATGG